TTCAAAAAAAAAAAAAAAAAAAAAAAAAAAAAAAATTAGCTAGGCATGGTGGCTTGAGCCTGTAATCCCAGCTATGTGGGAGGCTGAGGCAGGAGAATCACTTGAACCTGGGAGGCAGAGGATGCGGTGAGCCAAGATCATGCCACTGCACTCCAGTGTGGGCGACAGAGACTCCATCTCAAAAAAAAAAAAAAAAAAAAAATTAGCTAGGCATGGTGGCTTGAGCCTGTGGTCCTTCCTCAGTCTCAGGAGGCTAAGACAGAGGACTGCTTGAGCCCAGGAGGTTGAGGTTACAATGAGCCATGATTGTACCACTGCACTCCAGTGCAACAGAGCAAGACCCTGTCTAGAAAAAAAAAAGCAAACTCCATTCCAATACACATTCAGTATATTTTCCATCTTAAAGTAAGATTTATTGCAATATAGAAATAATATATTATCTTAAACTTCTAAAATATACCTCATTCATTACATGTTCCCTCATTCTAAGTCTTTCTTCTTCCATTTCTACCATATCATCCTCTTCATTTTTAGGGTCATATACTTTCTCCAACTAAAAAGAAAAATTTTTTAAATTTTAATTACTTTTCATGAAAGGAAAGAAAGTAATAGAAGAAAAAAAGAGAACAAGAACACTGAATACTTAATAAACTCATTTACCTCTTTAGTAAATAGGGCTTCTAATTCTTGTTCATCCAGGAATCCATCACTATTGACATCTAAAGTTTAAAAGTTACAGATGCAAAAATAGATTTTAATACCTTAGAAAATAAATAATTAAAATTCAATGATTTATAAAAGGTTTACAGAAGTAGTACAGATGTGAAGCATCAATAGACTGCAGAAAAGCATTTCTTCTTTTTCATGAAGATTTAGATCAGCTCAGTTGATAAATATGCTGTATTTATTTGCAATTCATAATCATTTGTGAGGAAAGCATATCTTGACCATTTTTTTCCAAAAATATAAAGTAAAGCAATATTCTATAAGTACAATTTAATGTTATAGTATAAAGCCTATTAAATATAATCTAGTTAGTCACAGTTTACAGTTTTCAGTTTACAGAGAACTTTGCAATAATTCATATAATGACTCAATAGTAAAAGCAGGGATAAAGAACCTAAAATATTTTATACTGAAGGTGAGCAATAAGACTATCATATTAGGCCGGGCGCGGTGGCTCAAGCCTGTAATCCCAGCACTTTGGGAGGCCGAGGCGGGTGGATCACGAGGTCAAGAGATCGAGACCATCCTGGTCAACA